TGTGTATGGTGGGGTGTGCTTGTGGGACTTGCCCTATGAACACACACATATACTCTCTCTCACTCCCTCCTTCCCTGCATGTGTGCACATGCACGCGTGCACACACACACACACACTCTGTCTCTCTCTCTCTCTGTCTCTCATTGCATGCACACACACACCCTCCTGCTTCTGGCCACATGGTGCTGAAGCAGGTGTGCAGGGAAGCAGTGAAAGCGGGGGCCTGCAGAGGCTTGTGGGGGTGGGGTAAGGCTGGGCCGGCCTTGTTCCTTGCTTCTGCTGGCTCCCCCCGCGTCCTTCTGCCCTTAGCTCCTGTCATCTTTGACAGGCAGCCAGGAGCAGATAAACAGTAATTTTCTAAATTTCTTAGGGGCCCCGTGGGCCAGATAGAATGGTCTGGTGGGCTGGATGCAGCCCATGGGCCATATTTTGCCCGTCCCTGTCCTAAACCCTCTGTAATCTGTGGGTGTCACATGCAGTACTTCACATGACATCTATTTCACAAGCTCCCTTCTTAAATAGCCAGACTGGCTTACATGTTTCCCCGCTCATCTGAGGCCATTATAAAACTGAGGGGATTAGTTAGAATGCCTCCCCTTGGATTACCTTTTCAAGTCGTATTTGGTGTGAAATAATGTTACTACCACCAGGTGACTGCATGCTATTAGTCTGGTGGTCTGAGACCTATTACAAGTTCCAACAAAATATCCACCACCTGGTTAGTGGTGTAAAAAGAGGTGATATGGCAAAGCTGAGATGTGTTAGTGGAGCTGTGTATGGCAGTCATGCTGTTCTCTTCTAAATTATTTTAAAGCCAACTTTCTCTATGCTGAATTCTTCCTTTTAATTGTTACTTAGCAAGCCTTTTATATTTTTCCAAACCTTTGGTTGTTGGCTCATTCTTCTATTCTCTCATTCATCTCTTTGAAAACAAAAGTTTTGTGTACCTACAAGAGAGAGAAAACCAGAAAGTAGCTTTAATAAGGAAAAAAATCATAAAAACCTCCCATTATACTCAGATGATCACAAAACAGGCATCAAGGCCAATGGAATAATTACTTTGTATGTGTTTTACATAGTCTTCTTTAATACTTCTACTAAAGAGTATTAGCTTAATATTAGTTACGTGGAAGAGGTGTTCAGTTGAACAACATCTATGTGAACCTCCCCATGTCTCATTTTCTGTGGTGGAAAAGTCAAGCCATTATTTTCTATGTTCAGCACCTATACATTTTTTTCTCACTGTTTCTGTGAGGTCTCAACCAGAGCAACACGTGTGGGCAGTGGGCTGTCAAATCAACCCAGATTGCTTCCATCTGGTAGTAAATTCATTGTTTCTCTCTGGAAGGAGCTGTCTTTCCTACTGCTTAGATAGGATCAGTCATATTTATAACATTTTCTCCAGAGTTATGATGCAGGGATTGGAAAGCGTGAGGGTCCAAACAGTTTTTTCTGTTTGTGTTTCTCAGTTGGAATCTTCTCAGACTTTTCCATGGTGTGGAACACATCAAAGAGTGATTGTCTCATGAGATACCAGCTCACTGTTGCATAACCTGTGGCAACTACAGCCATTATTTTTGTTTGGAAAGTAATATTAGGAAAGTATTAAATTATTGCTTATTTGAACGTCGTTTAGAAATGAAAATTAATTTTTTGACTATCAAGTGAAAAGTTGATATTTTCTATATACAGAATGTTAGCGGAAAGTATTTTGTTGGTTTCCTTTTCCTTTTAACATTTTCATTGAAATTTAATAGGAGTGGGATAGTTTCTAGCCAAGATTTCTATAGATCATCAGTAAACAAATCGTGAGTAGGGAACAGTGCCCTATGTGCAATCATCTTCTGGAAAAATTGTCTGGGGTAAGGGATGCCTGACCTCTTTATTGTAAATACAGCAAAAGCTCTGTTATCTGGCATCCATGGGGAATGCGGGGGTGCTGGTTAATCAAATATGCTGGTTATCTGGGAGTTAGACTTATCTCCAACCTGGTGGGTTGGAGGTGTCTTTGCCTGTTCGGGCTGCTGCCCCTCCTGCCACATCTGGTGTGCCAGGGCTTTCACTCCCTGACATCATTGTGCTGGGGGCCAGGGAGGGGGGCTTCATGCAGGCTGCTTTGCCCCAGGCCATGGTCCATGAGGAAGAAGTGGGACTCAGCTTATGGCGGTGAAACCGAAAGTGCTACAGTGGGACTGATGCTGGTTAATAAAGCATTGTGGATGGTAAAGTGTCAGATAACACAGCATTTACTGTACCTCCCTAAAGTAAATTTTTAAAACATGCCCCACCTCTTCCTCCCCTTCCACCTTCCTGCTGAGGAACCACTTCAGAATTGCCAAAAACAGCATCCAGTGGTGATGCTCTCCAGCCAGGGACTGCAAAAAGATGTTGCTTGATCCTTCGGCATACCAAAATGCTCTACTACCTTCCCCTTACTGGGGTGAGGGAGAACAGAGCACTGTGGGATGCTGGAAGACTGCTGGAGCATGTATACTAGATGTTTCAGAAAGCATTTCAAAAGAAAGTGCTGCAAAGATGTTACTCATTTTTTGAGGAGCATTTTTTAAGTATTTTGCCCTGTTTTGAAACCTCTCCTGCTATTCATTTCTGTTCATTTTCTACAGCATTTCAAAGATGATTTGAATGCTTGAAACAGTATATCCATCCTGGGCCTAAGAATGTGACAGTCTAAATTGACCTGCACGTGATACACGCCAGCTCTTTGGACTTCAACCTGTCATATTTCAGACCTAGAGTCAGCAAAGAGACATTGTTGGTCACAAAGGTCTGTGAACATCTCTGGCCACTGGGTGGAGATCAGCTATCCTAACTAATATATGATTTGTCACCTGCCTTTTCTACTTTGATTATGTGACATAATTGAAATTTTTTTGGACCACAGCAGGTGTGGACAAATCACTCTAAAGTGATTTTGCCCATTCCGTTCAGAGCTTCTGAGGGATGATTCTGTGTAGGGGTGCACCAATAAAGATTTTTTTGGCCAATACCAATGGCCAGTTATTAACCAGCCATATTAGCCAATACTGATCTGATTGCTGATATGCAGCCTGGCAGCTTGGAGAGCAGTGCCCGGCCAGTAAGCCTGTGGAGGGGAAGAGGCACGGAGGAGGGAAGAGGCAGGGGGGACAGATTGAGGCCTCCATGGTGGGGGAGTGGGACTGGAACAGGGGCAGGCACTGCTCAGGTGGGGTGGGGCATGGGATGGAGCTGTGGGTGGTTCGTGCGGGAGGGGAAAAGGGGGAGGGTCCCATCACTGCATGCATTACTGGGGGATGCATGGGGAGCATGTGCCCTTGGATTTGTGTGCGGTGTAAAGGCAGGCTGTCTACTGCAAGCTGGGGCCGGGAGCTGGGCCAGGGCTATGCTTGGGGCAGGTGGGAGTGGGTGGTGGCAGCTCTGGGAGGGGGTTTATGGGGTGGGCTGTAGCCACCCCAAAATTCCCCATAGCTTCTTCTCCCAACTTCCCACCCCCCATCCCCAAACACAGCCCTGGCCCAGCCCCCTCCCCCCACCACTAGAAAGAGCTGGCACAGCCCCCAGGCTCAAGCCTGCAGTGGGCAGCCCACCCTTGCCCTGTGCACAAATCTGGGGAGCACATGCCCCCCCATGCCCCCCCCAGGAG